GTTCATTTGAGACATTTTTGGGATAAAATTACTTAATTTCCTGTGTTATTTGATTTGCTTGGGGCTGCTATGCTTTTTGCAGACATATCAATGCAGGATGTGATGGTTGTTTACGACAATGAGAGGCAGCGGATCGGATGGGCTCGTGTTGCAGGCTGTGGTCGGCTTCCCAAGTTTGCAAACTCTCCTCTGTGAAGCTTTAATGGTATTCTTAGCATATCCACGGTGGTTCGTATAAATTCCATCCCTTTGCTCTATTAATTTATCCAAACAGTACTGAAGAAGATGAGTAAGGCTTGTTCCAGGAGAAGATCCTCACCGACCAGCTAGTTGTTATTGGGGAAATGGAGATTAATATTAACTACGTATCGTATGTTGTAGATAAAATTTCATGTACTTAAAATAAAATTAGAATTATGTTATATGTTGCCTTTGTAGATATAAATTGAATAAAATTCATAGTAAAAGTTCATTTTACAAGTAAAGAAGCTGTCCAATTGGGAAGTGTTTATGGAGCATAGACTTTGTGTAATTGTAAAGTCCACCCATCCAATTCCTTAATTGTTAAGATATTGTTCATAATTTGGCCAATTCTATGTGTCATTTTCTCATTAACAATCATGTCCTTACTGCTAAACCATTATCTCCCATTCGGCGTGTCATTTTCTCCCATGAATTACTATAATTTCTTCACTCAATGCGCTCGGGGCAATAATTATTGTGTTTAGAATATTTATTAAATTTTCAATCTCTAGGTGCAAGACTATATGATTAACATGAATAAAAACCAAGAAGTACGATGTCTAGGGTTTCTGGGTTTTGTGCGAGGCGGCCGATGTTCGGTATTTCTTCTTCACTGAACCTTTGATTTCCTGCGATTTTCTTCCGTATGACTGCAAATCAGTTAGGGGATCCTGGGTTTTTGGATGGTAAGGTTAAATGCAAGTTATTTTGTGATGTTTTATCCGGTGATTCGCCTGTTTTTTTCACCACTCAATGTTTTTCCAGCGTTAATCGTTTTGGATGAGGAATTACTTTCTCTTGCAGCGCCTTTTGAGTTTGCGTTGGTAGGGAAATTTTTGGGTCGTCTCTCGCCTCTAGATTTGATTCGGAAATTTTTCTTCAATCTCAAGCTTTGTTGTGCATTTTCAGTTACTATCTTGAATCCTAAAAAAGTGTTTATTAAGCTTGTTAATGACCTAGATTACTGTAGGGTTTTCTCTTACCGATCTTATTTCATTGACAACTGTTTCATGATGTTGTTTAAGTGGTTTCCCCACTTTGATGTTAATATGGAGTCGCCTATTGTGCCCATTTGGGTCTCTTTTCCTAGTTTACGTCATCATCTCTTCTCCCCTCGCATTCTTCATGTTTTGGGTTCCATGTTTGGTAGGCCTTTGCGTATCGACAATGCCACTTTGACCGGCATTAGGCTGTCTATTGCTCAAATTCTTGTAGAACTTGTTGTCACGAAACGGCATGCCTCTCAGGTTTGTCTTGGCTTTGAATCTATGGGATACATCCAATCTATTGAAATGAAAGATTTTTCATTTTATTGCTTTCATTGTAAATCGCTGGGTCATTTTAAGGAGGTGTGTCTTATTTGGTTTCCTAAGATGGATGTTTCTCCCTTTGTTCCTGAGGTGCCCGATGTGGAGGTGGTTGTGAATCCTGTTAATGGGTTGGTTGAGGCGGCTCTTAATGAGGAGGTAGTTTTTTAATGATATAACTTGTGATAATGGTACTATAGCTGTTGTGTCTCCTTTGCTTAACGTGGTGGGGTCTGAGGCTGTGAATGCTATAGAATTAGGTGATGTGTTTCTCAGCGTGATGATGGTTTGATTTCACCTACTGAGATCTTGAAGCCGAGCGAGTGTGTTTTGTTGAATGCTCCTGATGTTGCTGGTTTGAATGAGTTGGCTTTATCTAATGTTGAGGAGGTGGAGGCTAATGAGTATGGTGATGGTGTGGGTCAGCTGGATGAGTGCCTTGTTTCACATGAGGTTGTGGCTGCCCCTGGAGTTGTTGTTGCAGTTCCTCCCCTTATATGATATGCGGTGCTTGCTAGCAAGGTTTCTGTTGATCATTTGGTTAACGATACTTCGGTCAGTCCTCCCCCTGTTGGGAGGAGTGCTGGTTGTGATTCTTTGGTTGATGTTTCTGTTGTGCTAATTTCACCTAATGTTCTTACATCACGAATTTTGTCCAGAGAAGGGGAGTCATGTTTGAGAAAAAATAATTGGTTGGATGATTCTATGGACTCTTCGTGCTGCGATCTGGTGGATTAATTGGGGGGTGATGTTGGGGCCATACAATATTTGTATGTTTTGGATGTCTTGGGTCCCCCCTTTTATCGTGGTGGAAAATGGCTTCATTGCAAATCTAGGAGATAAGATTTCTCCTTCTCCTTTTATTTTCGTTTGCAGGGGCTGACTATTTGTTCTCTTTTGCTGTTCTCGGGTCTTGTGGTTTGGGTTGGTTTGGTGTGGGTTTTCTTGGCATAATCTCGGTGAGCTAAGGCTCGGTTGCTTGGCTTCTTTACCTGTTACATTATGGTTATGGAATTGGACTATGATAAGGCAGTTCTTCTGCATGCCCCATGGATGGTCAGGCTTGGTTTGCAACCTTGGTGGTTATTTTCCTTATCAATGTATTTGGACTTTTATTTTGGTGAACCTGTTGTGTTTGTAATTTTTGTGATTGCCTCTTTTTCCTCCTAGGATGGCCCAAGCCTGGTAACCAGATGGCGGTCTGAGTCCAGCTACTTATGGATTTTTTTCTTTTCATTATCGTGGTCAAGTCTGCCCTTTCGTGCCGTGGTGCTTGGTTGCTTACCATGGTTGGTAGCTGGACTGTTGCTTTTGGGTGCGTTGATGGTTATTTTGTTTCACTTTGCTCTTTTTCTTTGCTTGTTTTTTATCCTTGTATTAGATGGATCGATAGCTCGTAGGTTTTTTTCATGTTATGTATTTTAGTGAGCTTACATTCCTTAAAGGACCTGTAACTTTTACCATTATTAACGCGTATGCCCCGCCGTGAATTTTTACCTAAAAAAATGAATTTCATAATGATATTATCAATTTGCATAAACATAATTATCACTTTGAATTCTTCAATTATAAATCTTTATTAAGAATATATATAATATAATTGGGAAAGTGGAGCAGAACAAGCAAATTAAAGAATATTTCCAAGTCGTCAAGTCTTGCAAAAGAAAAGGACAACGACCAATTCCTCCAAAACCAAATACATTAACTGATTCAAGTCGAGGAAAATACTAATGGAAATACATTAATGAAATCAAGTCAATGAAAATAACTATTGAAATTAAGGGTGTTAGTGAGTCAAGATGATAAATGAGTATTGTTTAAAAATATTCGTGCGACAATTTTGAGCCAACTCTAACTTGTCTTATTAGCTCATTGAGTCAGATCGTTTAAGAAATTTTTTTTTAATCAAATATACTTAAAAATATATTAGCAATCAAGAGCTTAATTAAGTACAAAATTGTTAAAAATATATTAAAATATATTTAGCAAATTTGTTGTGAAAATGCGTTTTAACCAAGTCATTGCAAAGGAAAAAAAAAAAAAGGCAGGCCCTCAAAAACAAAATTTTGTAATGAATGCAAGTTTAAGAAAATGACCACATTAATATTTATTTAAAGAATATTAGTCGGTGTCAAAATAATGATCCGATCCGATCATAAAAAATTTAGGTCAGGTTGATCCGTTTAATAAACGAATCCAGTTAGCTTTGACCAATGAACTCGTTTTTTTACTCGAAATTTCTTTAGTTTTTTTTTTTATAATAAATTTTAGGTTGAATATTATTTTTATATCAATTATTTTTAATTTATAATCAATAAGTTAATCATTATTTTTTAATCAAAATGGGTTAATGGATGGGTCGGGTTATTCGGATTGCTAGCAAATCGGAGTTGGGTTGCCGTTTTACCCATTTATTAAAATGGTAGGATTTGAGTTGACATGATTAGGTTCAGAACAATTTCAGATCGGATCCAAACCTAATCTGCCGATCCTTTTCACCACCACTAAATATTAGTTCCAGCTCTCAAAGTATTTAGCCAAGTCAATGCCAAAACAAAAGATGTTGATTCCTTACAACAAAATACGTTTAACAAGTCTAAGAAACAATCAAAAGAAATGCATATTTGATGGAAATTACATCCCGTTATAACCAACATAAACAGTCTGTATTGACAAATAATAATTTATAATTAAACTTTTTCAGAGCATCCTCTCATCAATATATATCATCGATGATGTGGAAAATTTTTTCAGAGCATTCTCTCATGTTTCTTAACACTGCCGTTGCCAGGTCCCAAGTCCTGGATGAGAAAAGTGGAGGGTTGCGTTAGGTAGTCGACAGCCAGCGTAAAACTTGTCGAACAAAAATGACAAATGCAAAAGCAAAAGAGCCAAGTTATGCAGCCAGTAACCATGGCGGTTCTCATTGCTGTCGTCATCCTTTTCGAGCTTCCTTCCTTCTCCGCCCGGACCAACTCTTCCTCCCGCTCCGCTTTTCGCAGGAACCCTGTTTCGCCCTCGGTGGAGGAATCTAACTTCGTTAATATTCCTGTTTTCGAAGACGTTTATACCATTGGGTAAGATCCTTTTAGTCTGACATCAAAGAAGAGGTGTTTGCTGATTTTAGATGAACTCGTGCAGATTGTACTATGTAAAGATCCAAATCGGTAACCCACCAACACGCTATAACCTCCACATCGACACTGGGAGTGATGTCACGTGGCTCCCAAAGGCACACATCAATCCATCCCATCTCTCTGTCTCTCTCTTTTTTTTTTTTTAATTCTAACCTTTAATATCTTTGATTAATTTTGTGAATCATTACGATTAATATAATTGTTGAGGTTAAAAGATTGAGTGAAGTGAATAACTTGGATTAATTTAAAAGCCAAATCAAAATTAATTCTCATTCAAAATTTAGCATTGCAGGAGCTCTATCCTCCGAATGAATTACAGAACATCCAGTATGTACGATGCGATGAACCCCGTTGCATTGATGCACACAAAGGTAAGTGCATGAACACTGATCCATGTTACTATGAGATCAGTTACCAAGATGAAAGCGCCTCCAAAGGCTTCCTCGTGACCGACTCCTTCACACTCCACTTAGCAGATGGCTCGTTGATCAGCCCTACCCTTTCCATCGGTCGCAGCACCTACTACTCATCAGAAGAGCCCAATAGTCAATAAAAAACTCACGGCATGCTTGGGCTTGGCAAAGGTAGAATAAGCATACTCTCGCAGCTGCACGAACAAGGCCATTTTGCCATAATCTTTGGTCATTGCCTAAGTAGCAATTCGAAAGACTACGGGTTTATGTTCATTGGGGAAGATTTCGATTATCCCAGATGCCTCACTTGGGTGCCTATGTCGAACGATATTTCGCAGTGAATTTTTAATAAGTACTCGTGGTCTGATTTAAAGATCGAGCAGGTTAATTATGCGCAATAATAGTTTATGTAATGATTATATATTGTGTGCAGCTACTTACTGAAGTAATATATGGTAATCATGAGCAGTCGTTGTTGGGAAGAAATCAACCTTTCGTTCTTGATAGTGGAGCCACTTACACGCACTTCCTAGATCCATTGTACCAGCAGCTTTTAACCAAGGTTACTACTCTCCATTCTTCATTCCTATATGGTGTCCATCATATTATCATAGACGTACAGGTGGAGGATAAATACTTTCCCGGGTGAACCACCACTGAAATATTAAGTAAAATTGATCCGATTTAAAATAATTTTGCGGGGTTTTTAAGGTTTTAAAGAAAGGTTCTTCCTTCGATGACTATTAGATTGCAGAGATGCCACTGCAAAAAGTACCTGGAGATGATGTGTACCCTGACTGCTGGGAGGACACGAGACCCTTCACGTCCATCAGTGATCTCAGGAACCTTTTCAGTAGCTTATATCTCAAATCAGGAAATGGACAAGGTTTGGAGATCCCACCGGAGAACTACTTAATCATTATGGTAAGCATGACATCTTTCGCTTGGTTGGTGTCCATATTTCTATACAAAGGTGAGCTTTATTTCTCATTCATGAGTTCCAATTAATTTCAGGAAGATGGTGATGTTTGCTTGGCCATCTTGAATGGCTTTGCTCATGGTATGAACAACTTCAACCTTATTGGAGGTAATTAAGCTTTAAATGAGGAATACTATAAATTAAACAACAACCTTTGAAAAAATTATCTACTCCGGCTGGCTTATAAACAAATTATTTAATTTCCTTTGTAATTTGTTTATTTTGAGACTCTTATGCTTTGTGCAGCTATGTCAATGCAAAATGTGATGGTTGTTTACGACAATAAGCAGCAGAAAATCGGATGGGCTCCTGTTATTGGCTGCACTCAACCTCTGAACTGCCCACCATAATGCTTCAACTATATTCGTACCAAGTTCAGAACAAAGCTTAATATTTATGGAGCATATAGAAACTCTTTGCAATTAATTACAGGGATTTTGCTAATAAAAAAGTTCATAACTATCTTCTTCTTCTGTTGGAGACAATCAATGAAATTCTTTTGGTTTAAATGAAATTCATAATGAGATTATCAATTTGCATAAACATAATTATCACTTTCAGTTCTTCAATATTAAATCTTTATTAAGAATATATATAATATAATTGGGCAAGTGGAGCAGAACAAGCAAAGAATATTTCCAAGTCGTTAAGTCTTGCTATAGTAAAGGACAACGACCAATGCCTCCAAAACCAAATATATTAACGCAATTAATCAAGTTGAGGAAATTACTAACGGAAATATATTAATGCAATCAAGCCAATGAAAATAACTATCAAAATTAAGTGTGTTAGTGTCTTAGTGAGTCGAGCTGATAAATGAGTCTTGTAGTGGGTTAAATACCATGAGCAAATGAGACAATTTTGAGCCAACTCCGACTTGCCTTATTAGCTCATGAGTCAGCTCCTTTAAGAAATATTTTTATCAAATATACTTAAAAATATATTAGCAATTAAGAGGTTAAGTAAGCACAAAGTTGTTAAAAATATATAAAAATTATATCACTATTTTTTTATATTAATATGATTTATTTTCATTTTTCTTTTAATTTTTTATTCTTTTTATTATTTTATTATAATAAGTGTTTCGATCGAATTTTTTTTTTGTCAGAGTAGGCTTGCAAGCCGACTCAAACTCATAGAATTAAGTTCAAACATGAGCTCGAACTCTATTAATTAAGCGAGCTCAAGCTAAAATCAGGGGTGCTTCAAGTTCAGCTAATTTCATTTAAGCTCCTAACTGAAACAAAGAAATGAATTGAAATCAAAGCCAACAATGATCATTTATGCTAGAATGAAAAAAAGAATATAGAAATGATACATTTTATTATATTTTATTGTTTAGTTGGAGATGATTAGACTTTAAAAAAAAATTCAAAAATTCTCTTCAGGTAAAATGATTTGATTTTTATACTTTAAATAAAATACATAAAATTAAAATTTACATTTTTAATGAAAATTACAAAGAAAGAAAATAAGAAATTATAAAAAATAGTAATAATTAAGTCCATAATATATTTATTTTCATTTTATATTGTATAATATTTGGCATTAGCAGCCCATATATTAGTATAGCGAAAAAAGATGGAAATTGAACTCCAAGAATGAGCCGTTGACCACGGATAAAATTAGTGGTGGAGCAAAAAAAAAATATTGAAGGTATCTAATTTATTTTATTAAAATTTTTCTTTAACTTTTTTCATCTGGGCTTAAAATCAGCTTAGGCAGTTGTTGACCCCTATAACAAAACCCAGGAATCTTAAATCTGATAAAGAGAATTCAGTTTGAATGTGGATTGCATTGAATTTTATTATGCACTAGTTGAGGAAGCAATCAAATTGGAAAAGCTCCTGTTAATGGAGTTGATTTGTACAGAAACATTTCTCTTCTATCTATAGTGGGGCACGGCGGTATGGGAAAGACAACTCTCTTGCAACATGTTTATGAAGATGAAATGACAAAGGAATTTGATCTTAAAATGTGGGTTTGTGTTTCCAACAACTTTGATGTGAAAAAAGTCATTGCAGATATGTTGGAATCTCTTAAGAAGGAGAGGCCTCGTTTGGAGACACTTGAGGCACTTCAAGATAGACTTCGGGCTAAGATCATGTCCAAAAAGTAATATCATGTCCAAAAAGTTCTTACTTGTGCTGGATGACATTTGGGAGGATGATGAGGAGGATAAAAGTAAATGAGAGAAGGTGCTCGTCCCTTTGGCTTATGGGAGTTTTGGTATTAGAATTTTGGTGACAACTCTAATGGGCTCATCTGCAATGATGATTGCAACGGTCATTAAAAAGAAGGCGGAAGTATTTAGCTTAGAGGGCTTGGAGAAAGATCAGTGTTGCAGCTCCTCAACTTTCATGCATTTGCTGATGAGAAGAATCTTAATGATTATAAAAGATTAAGATCCATTGTTGAAGAGATAGTTGAAAAGCTTTCTGGATCTCAATTTGCTACAAAAGTCATCGGTGGTGTCGTGAATTTTGAGGCAATTTGAATATGATGTGAAGGCGCACATATCAAAGAAATGAGGCCTCGATGATGACGGACGACGTCTGATTGACAAACGGACAGCGTCATTGCATCCGAAACGTCGCTGACATTCAGAATATATATTTTATTTAATAAATTTGGATCGTCTGAGATGGTGGCGAATTTCTAGGCAATTCAAATTTGATATGAAGGCATATGTTGCGAAGGAAACGAGGCCTCGAAGATGCTCGGACGATGTCCGACCGACAAACGGATAGAGCCATTACGTTCGGAACATCATCGTCATTAGGAATATATATTTTATTTGATTAAATTGGATCATTTGAGGTAGTGTCACAAATTTCAAAGGCGACACTGACGACGGCTGAAGTAATAATATATAGTGTATGTATTGATTATATATTCAAGCTTTCGTTCTTGATAGTGGAGCCACTGACACATACTTCGTAGAGCCGTTGTACCAACAGCTTTTAACCAAGGTTACTCTCCATTCTTCATTCCTATATGGTGTTCATCATATTAGCATGGAGGATAAAAACTTTCCCTGGTGAAGCACCACTGAAATATTAAGTAAAATTGATCCGATTTAAAATAATTTTGCAGGGTTTTAAGGTTTTAAAGAAAATTTCATCCTTCGATGACTATTAGATTGTAGAGATGCCGCTGCAAAAGGTACCAGGAGATGATGTGTACCCTGACTGCTGTGAGGACATGAGACCCTTCACGTCCATCACTTATCTCAGGAACCGTTTCAGTAGCTTATATCTCAAATCAGGAAATGGACAAGCTCTGGAGATCCCACCGGAGAACTACTTAAACATTACGGTAAGCATGCCATCTTTCGCTTGGTTGGAGTCCATATTTTTATACAAAGGTGAGCTTTATTTCTCATTCATGAGTTCCAATTAATTTCAGAAAGATGGCCATGCTTGCTTGGCCATCTTCAATGGCTTTGCTCGAGGTCTGAACAACTTCAACCTTATTGGAGGTAATTAAGCTTTAAATCAGGAATACTATAAATTAAACTACAACCTTTGAAAAAATTTGCTACTCTGGCCGGCTTATAAACAAATTATTTAATTTCCTTTGTAATTTGTTTAATTTTAGACTCTTATGCTTTGTGCAGCTATATCAATGCAAAATGTGATGGTTGTTTATGACAATGAGCAGCAACAAATCGGATGGGCTCCTGTTATTGGCTGCACTCAACCTCTGAACTGCCCACCATAAATGCTTCAATTATATTCATACCAAGTTCAGAACAAAGCTTAATAATTATGAAGAATATAGATGTTGGAAATTAAATTTAATTTGACCCGCTATTATTTGGGCTTTTGATTGAAGCCTATAATCTAGAGAAATCTATTAATGAAGACTCTAGAAATTTATTGAAAAGTAATATGTATTTAATATCATTTATGATAGGAGATATGAGAATACTCTAGAGAGTCATTTAAGAAGTAATTATTAGAAAAGTCTAAAATATCTATTTAATGCCATTTATGATAGGAGACATGAGAATACCCTAGAGAGTCATTTGTAGCCATTAAATTAAAATGTGTTGACATAATCCTAATGGTGTACTATTAGTATAAATAGTGGTGATGTATTTGAGTTTGTATTAAGCCAAAAATTTGAGAAGTAAAATTTCTAGTTTCTTTCTTTTGTTCTCTTTAGCCTTCTCTTGTTCCAAAAGCCATTTTTCATTCCAACAAAGTGGTATCAGAGCCAAGTTCTTTTCTAGAGATGACAAATGGAGGTATGGCTTCCTTCCAAGTTCCATTGCTCAAGACAACAGATTATGATAATTGGAGTATAAAGATGAAGGCACTTCTTGGAACGCATGACGTTTGGGAGATTGTAGAGAAAGGCTACAATGAGCCAATCGACGAGTCCGTTCTATCCTTAACATAGAAGGATAGTTTAAGAAATTCAAGAAAGAGAGACAAAAAGGCTCTCTTCCTCATCTATCAAGCGTTAGATGATGACGGTTTTGAAAAAATCTCAAGTGCTACATCGGCCAAACAAGCGTGGGAAAAGCTCCAAGTATCGTACAAGGGAGAAGAGAAGGTTAAAAAGGCACGTCTTCAAATGTTAAGAAGACAATTTGACGTCTTGCAAATGAAAGAAGGAGAGATGGTCTCAGATTATTTTTCAAGAGTTCTTTCTATTTCTAATCAACTAAAAAGAAATGGTGAGAAGCTAGAAGATGTGACTATCATTGAAAAGATTATTTGATCGTTAGAATCAAGATTTGATAGTATCACAACTATCATCGAGAAGACAAAAGATCTACAAGAGATAACAGTAGAGCAACTCTTGGGTTCATTGCAAGCTTACGAAGAAAGAAATAAGATGAATGAAGGGATTACCAAGCAACTCCTCAAGCTAGATCTCAAATCAGCCAAGAAAGACGAAAGCTTCAACAACAATAATAAAAACTATAGTGGAAGAGGTCATGGACAAGGACGAAGTCGTGCAAATGAGCAAGAAAGAAATTTTTCAACAAGAGGGCGAGGAAGAGGATGCTCAAACTTAAGGTACGAGAAATCTCAAGTTAAGTGCTACAATTGTAACAAATTTGGGCATTACGCTAAAGAATGTAGAACGCCCAAAGTAAAGTGAATAATAAGGTCAACTACGTAGAAGAAGAAAGAAAAGAAGATGAATACTATTGCTAGCCTACAAAAATAATGGAAGATGTGAAGATGGAATGTGGTACCTCGACACAGGAGCAAGTGATCTCATGTACGGAAAAAGAAGCATGTTCGTGGAGCTTGATGAAATAATGGGCGGTAATATATCCTTTAGAGATGACTCAAAATTAGAAGTAAAAGATAAATGTGACATCCTTATGTACTTGAAGAACGGGAAGCATCAATTTATTTCTAATGTCTATTTTGTATCAAATATGAAGCGTGATATTTTAAGTTTGGGATAACTTTTGGAGAAATGATATGATATTCATTTAAAAAATTATTATATTTTCTTAAAAGATAATATTGGCACTTTAATTGTGAAAGTACCAATGTCAAGAAATAGAATGTTTTTGCTAAACATTCAAAATGATGTTACCAAGTGCCTCAAAGCATGTTATAAAGATATGTCTTGGTTATGACACCTCTGATTTGGGCATCTCAATTTTGGAGCACTGGAACTACTTTCAAAGGAAGATATGGTGAGAGGTCTTTCATGCATCAAGCATCCTGATCAAATGTGTGAAGCATGTCTACTTGTGAAGCATTTTAGAAAAAGTTTTCCAAGAGAATCAAGTTTGAGAGCTTGAAAGCCATTGGTTATCATACATACAAATGTCTGTGGACCAATACAGCCATGCTCACTTGGTAAGAGAAAATACTTTCTTCTATTCATTGATGATTTCTCACGAAAAATATGGGTGTATTTTTTGAAGCAAAAATTAGAAGCATTCAGCGTATTTAAGAAATTCAAAGCCACCATTGAGAAAGAAAGTGAACTCAAGATCAAGGCTATGCAATTAGATTGAGGAGGAGAATTCACTTCAAAAGAATTTTAAGAATTCTATGATGCTAATGGGATACGTCGATCTCTAATTGTCTCAGGATCCCCTTAACAAAATGGAGTAGCAGAAAGGAAGAGCAGAACCATCCTTGACATGGCGAGAGTATGCTCAAAAGCAAGAGGCAGCCGAAGGAATTTTGGGCAGAAGCGATCTCCTGTGCAGTTTATTTGGCCAACCGTTCACCAATAAGAAGTGTGTGGGAAATGACTCCACAAGAAGCATGGAGTGGAAGAAAGCCCGACATCTCCCACGTAAAGGTTTTTGGAAGCATAGCTCATGTGCACGTACCTGATATGAAAAGAAGTAAGTTAGATGATAAAAGTGAGAATTTCATTTTCATCGGCTGCGATAATAACTCAAAAGGATATAAGTTATACAATCCAAATATTGGAAAGATAATTATTAGAAGAGATGTTATATTCGATGAAGAAGGAGAATGTGACTCGGGATCATATGAGAAAGATTACAAGTTGAAGAAGAAGATACGGAGCAACCAAGGATGGATCAAGCAAAAGAGGAGCCTACTTCTCCACTAGCAACATCAACTACAAATAATCAAGAAAGCACAAGTGAAAGAATACCACTATTCAGGAGCCTAAGAGATATATATGAGGTAACAGAGAATTAAGAAAATCTTACACTCTTTTGCCTCTTTGCAGAATGTGAGCCCATGAATTTTCAAGAAGCCGTACAAATTAAGGAGTGGAAGGATGCTATGGATGAAGAAATTAAAGCAATCGAGAAGAACGACACATGAGAGCTGACTTCACTTCCTCACAGACACAAAGTAATTGGCGTGAAATGTGTGTACAATGCAAAGAAGAATGATAAAGGAGAAATTGAAAGATATAAGGCAAGATTAGTGGAAAAAGGCTATAGTCAAAGAGCCGACATCGACTATGATGATGTATTTGCTCCTGTTGCTTGCTTAGAAACTATTAGACTAATCATTTCCTTGGCATCTCAAAATAAATGGAAGATACATCAAATGGATGTAAAATTAGCTTTCTTGAATGGAGTTTTTGAAGAAGAAGTATATATTCAACAACCACTTGGATACGAAGTCAAAGGGCAAGAAGACAAAGTTCTCAAGCTAAAGAAGGCCCTATATGGGTTGAAACAAGTACCAAGGGCATGGAATAGTCGGATAGATAAGTACATGTAAGATAAAGGTTTTATAAAATTCCCTTATGAATATGCTCTTTACATCAAGAATAAGAAGAAAGATGTTTTAATCATTTGCTTGTACGTTGATGATTTGATCTTCACCAAAACAATCAAATGCTGTTTGAAGAATTCAAACATACAATGACTAAGAAATTTGAGATGACTGATATTGGGCTCATGACCTATTATTTGGGCATTGAAGTCCATCAAATGGAAGATGGAATATTTATTTCACATGAAAGCTATGAATAGGAGATGCTGAAGAAATTCAAGATGGATAATTGCAAATATATAAATACTCCTATTGAATGTGGAGTCAAGCTATCAAAGCATGATGGAGGAGAAAGAGTTGATCCTACATTTTTCAAGAGCCTGGTCGAAAGTTTGCGCTACTTAACATGCACAAGGCCTGATATTCTCTATGATGTTGGACTTGTCAGTCGTTATATAGAGACTCCAACCACCAACCACTTAAAAACTGTTAAAAGAATCCTACACTATATCAAAGATACAATTCACTTTGGCTTACTCTATTCATCATCTAATGATTTTAGACTAATAGGATATAGTGACAGTGATTGGGCTGGCGATATGGATGATAGAAAGAGCACCACTGGTTATGTGTTCTTCATGGGAGATACAACTTTTACTTAGATGTCAAAGAAACAACCAATTGTTAGTTTGTATACTTGTGAAGCAGAATATGTAGCTACAACATCTTGTGTTTGTCATGCATGTCATGCAATTTGGCTTTGAATTTTGTTAAAATAATTAAGCTTGCCTCAAGAAGAAGCAATGAAGATTCATGTTGAAAATAAGTCTGCAATAGAATTAGTCAAAAAATCCAGTTTTTCATGATAGATGCAAGCATATTGATATGCGCTATCATTATATCAGATAATACATTACAAGGAAGGAAGTGCAAGCGGAATATGTGAAGTCATTAGAACAAATTGCTGACATCTTCACCAAGCCACTCAAGTATGAATACTATATCAAGATGAGAATTTTTTTTGGAATCACAAAATTAAGTTTAAGGGGGGCTGTTGGAAATTAAACTTAATTCAGCTCGTTATTATTTGGGCTTTTGTTTAAAGCCTATAATCTAGAGAAATCTATTAAAGAAGACTCTAGAAATTTATTGAAAAGTAATCTGTATTTAATGTCATTTATGATAGGAGATATGAGAATACTCTAGAGAGTCATTTATAACCATTTGATTGAAATGTGTTTGCATAATCCTAACGGTGTACTACTAGTATAAATAGTGGTGATGTATTTGAGTTTGTATTAAGCCAAAAATTTGAGAAATAAAATTTCTAGTTTCTTTCTTTTGTTCACTTTAGCCTTCTCTTGTTCCAAAAGCCCTTTTTCATTCAAACAATAGAAACTCTTTGCAATTACAGGGATTTTGCTAATAAAAAAGTCCATAACTATCTTCTTCTTCTTCTTGTTCTTCTTCTGTTGGAGACAATCAATGAAATTCTTTTGGTTTAAATGAATTTAATAATGAGATTATCAATTTGCATAAACATAATTATCACTTTCAGTTCTTCAATTATAAATCTTTATTAAGAACATATATAATATAATTGGGAAAGTGGAGCAGAACAAGCAAAGAATATTTGCAAGTCCTTAAGTTGCTAAAGTAAAGGAGTTGAACGACCAATGCCTCCAAAACCAAATATATTAACGCAATCAAGTTGAGGAAATTACTAACGGAAATATATTAATGCAATCAAGTCAATGAAAATAACTATCAAAATTTAGAGTGTTAGTGAGTTGAGCTGATAAATGAGTCTTGCTTAAAAATATTTGTGTTAAATACAATGAGCAAATGAGACAATTTTGAGCCAACTCGGACTTGTCTTATTAGTTCATGAGTCAGCTCGTTTAAGAAATATTTTTATCAAATATACTTAAAAATATATTAACAATCAAGAGCTTAATTAAGTACAAAGTTGTTAAAAATATATCACTATTTCTCATATTAATATGATTTATTGTCATTTTTCTTTTAATTTTTATTTTTTTATTATTTTATTATAATAAATGTTTCGGTCGTAATTTTTTTTTTTGGTCAGAGTAAGCTTGCAAGCCTACTCAAACTTATAGAATTAAGTTCAAATTTGAGCTTTAACTCTATTAATTAAACGAGCTCAAGCTAATATCAGCTGTGATTCAAGTTTGACTGATTTCACTTAAACTCCTAACTGAAACAAAGAAATGAATTGAAATCAAAGCCAACAATGGTCATTTATGCTAGAATGAAAAAAATATATATATATAGAAATGATAAATTTTATTATATTTTCTCGTTTAATTGGAGATGATTAGACTTTAAAAAAATTCAAAAATTCCCTTCAGGTAGAATGATTTGATTTTTATACTTTAAATAAAATACATAAAATTAAAACTTACATTTTTAATGAAAATTACAAAGAAAGAAAATAAGAAATCATAAAAAATAGTAATAATTAAGTCCGTAATATGTTTATGTAGATATATTTGCATTTTCTATTGTATAATATTTGGCAATTATAGAAGAACAGTTGTTTGGCATTGGAAGCCCATATATTAATATAGCGAAAAAAGATGGAAATTGAACTCCAAGAATGAGCCGTTGACCACTAATAAAATTAGTGGCGGAGCCATAAAAATTATTGGAGGGATCTAATTTATTTTATTACAATTTTTTAAAAAAATTTATTTTCATTCGGACTTAAGATCAGCATAGACTGTTTTAAAATTTTTTGTTCAATATTTATTCAAAAATATATAAGATTAAATATAAGATATTAACAACTTACAATTTGTAACGTAACTTCTACTTTTTAAATTCTAAAAGAGTTAAATAATTACTTCATTATCATAAAAAATCACCTATTAAACTGAATCAAATAAAAAATTGTTTTTCATTATAGTATTTTTTTATCAAGCAAAGGAATTGACCACTAGTCCTTATTAATCAAATAAATATTTCAACATATTGCTTCCTATTAATAACTAATTAACAACTTAAAGACAAACATCACTAATTAAAAAAATAAAACAAAGAAAAACACAGTTACTTGAAGACGAATGAATGAAATGGTGGTGGGCCGATGGGGGGACTAGCCTTGATGTTAACCTTTGTTCAAGTGATTGGGTGGTCGGCAGGGGTCTAATAGTCGACGGGGGCGTGACTAGCCCAAGTCAATAAGGGGGGAGAGAGAGAGAGAGAGAGAGAGAGAGAGAGAGAGTTTGTATAACTTAGGAAGTAAATATTTGATGAGCTACTCATTGCTTGGTTCTATTAAAGTTTAATTGTGATCGTTCAATTAACTAAACAAATAAACTTGAACAATATTTTAAATATTCGATCATTAAAATAAATAAGCTTAAACATTTATGTGTTCCACTCATTTATGTTCATAAACATCATCATTTAGTTTGAGTTTACAAGAAATCATCAAAGCAATTACTAAAGATTAAGAAGCCCATTAGATTTACTAACCTCTCTAAATAAAAGTTTAAAAATGAACAAAAGTATAAAACTTAATCATTTAAAAAATTATATCACTAGAAAATGTTTAAATAAATTAAGTGACAACTTTAAGGACTCGCCTCAACAATATATTGGCCCTTAATGCTTGATGGAAATGGGAAGTAAGAGCTACTCAGTGCACTCTTGAAATCGATTAAAAAAGGAAAGCTTGCTCGAGTGGGTGTTGTTGGGAGAAGTTGGGAAAACAATAAGAGAAGTATGAAGAAGGAAATGGTGATTTTAACAAGATGTACGTGGAGATTGGTCCCAATGACTTGCCTTTTGTTATGGGAAAAGGATTTCAACAATTATGTTATCACATTAAGCGGCAATAGTATTTCAAGCTGGCACTTTATTGCTAGTTCAACCAACCATAAGTCCTCTTTCAAAATTTTAAATATAACTCCACCCTTTTCTTGTTTACATCATGCAATATATTTATCTAGGTGACTCCACATAAACATAATTATCATATGTTAAGCAATAATGATCAAAATATTGTAATCATGCAATGATGAATGCAGGACTGTACTTAGAAGATAGCAGTCAAAGCATTATAGTTGGATAAAGGTATTCAAAAGATCATAATTAAGCAATAATGGTTGGAAAAGCATAATTGATTGACGATGCTTGTAAGACTCTAGTCAAACGATAGTGGTTAGATGGTTGTAGTCAAGCTATGATGTCAAATGAGTGTGGCCTGGTGATGGTGATCGGAGGACCAAAAAATAGGCTATGATGACATTGGTTAGAGGATTACAATCAGGTGGTGGTGTTTGGGGAACCACAACAAGGTGATGGTCATGGGCGGATCCCCATTGTCTTGACGGGGGCAAATGCCCCCCCTCAATATTTTTATTTTATTTTAGAGGGGATATTTTAGAATATTTTGAGTATTTTTCCCCCTCTCAAAAAATTTTTTTGTCCTCATTTTATCAATCCTAAGCATCTTTGTCCATCCCCCACAAAAAAATTTTTTTGCCCACCCTGAAAACGGAAGTTGGATCCATCCCTGGTGATGGTGGTTGAAGAACCATAGTAGACTGATGACAGTCAGTGATTGCAATTAGTCGAGTGATGATAGTCAAAGTATTGTAGTAAAACAATGATGGTCAGAGGAACATAGTTGAGAGATAGCGATCAAAGATCTTAGTCATCGTGGTCAAAGGACCAAAGGAAGGTGACAATATTTAGATGATTATTATTAGATGATGGTGGTCAGAGTACCATGATAAGCCAACGTTGGTTGGATAATTATTGTCCGACAAGGGTGATTGACCACGATGACTAAGGTCATGATTATTGTTGGATGGGTGATAGTAGTTTGAGGATTATTGTTGGATGGTCATGATTAAAAGGTCAAAGCATGATAATTTTTTTTTATTATTATTTTTACTTTCTTAAAATCTCCTCCCCATAACGAATGGTTCAACTAATGGGATAGTCGTTTTCTTCGTTTTTTTTTTTTCTGTTCTTAAAAAAAAAAAAATGAAGTTTAAAAAATTTCCCCGTCTTATTTTGGGCATAACATATTTATTATTTTTGATTACACATAAACGCGCGTAGTTATTACTTTGCATTCGCCAGGTTTAAATCCTTGTTAATTCAGTAAGTTGTGTAAAACAAGCAAAATAATAATTGCAAATTGGTTGAGAAAACGTGTTTCAACTAAGTCATTGCAAAGAAAAAAAAAAATAAAGGCAGGCCCTCCAAAAAAAATTTATTAATGAAGGCAAGTCTAAGAAAATGACCATTATTTAAAGAATATTAGCCGGTGTCAAAAAAATGATCCCATCCGATCATAAAAAATTCAGATTGACCCGTCTAATAAATGAATCCAGTTAGCATTGAGCCATGAACTCGTTTTTTTACCTCAAATTTCTTTAGGTTTTTTACTTTTAGGTAGAATATTCTTTTTTTTATCAATTATGCTAAATTTATAATTAATAAGTTAACCATTATTTTTTAACCAAAATGAGTTAATGGGTGGGTCGGGTTATTCAGATTTGTAGCAAATCAGAGTTGGGTTGCTGTTTTTTTACCCGTTTATTAAAATGATAGGATTTTAGTTGACTTGATTAGGATCAGATCAATTTTGAATCAGATCCAAACCTAATCCGTCGATTCTTTTTACCACCCCTAAATATTACTTCTAGCTCTCAAAGTATTTAGCCAAGTCAATTCCAAAACAAATATGCTGACTCCTTACAACAAAATACGTTTAACAAGTCTAAGAACCAATCAATAGAAGTGCTGATTCCTTACGACAAAGGCATTAGCCCATAATGAGCTTAACTTTTGTTGAACATGGAGCAAATTCTTTATAATTTTTTATCGAATAGCATATTATAATATAGTAGAACTCGTACCTCCATGTACATTGACCTTGACTTCCTACGGCCCTTCCTCTCATCAATATATATGATCGATAATGGGGAAAATTTTTTCAGAGCATTCTCTCCTGTTTCTTCATTGCTAAGAAAAATAGAAAGAAGACAAAAGCAAAAGAGCCAAGTTATGCAGCCAGTAACCATGGCGGTTCTCATCGCTGTCGTCATCCTTTTCGAGCTTCCTTGCTTCTCCACCCGGACCAACTCTTCCTCCCTCTCCGCTATTCACAGAAACCCTGTTTCGCTCTCGGTGGCGGAAACTACGGGCAACACCGATGAACACCTGACATCTAACTTCGTTAACATGCACGTTTTCGAAGACGTTTATACCATTGGGTAAGATCCTTTTAGTCTGACATCAAAGAAGAGGTTTTTGCTGATTTTAGATGAACTCTTGCAGATTGTACTATGTACAGATCAAAATCGGTGACTCATCGAAGCCCTATAACCTCCACATCGACACTGGGAGTGATCTCACGTGGCTCCCAAAGGCACACATCAATCCATCCCACCCATCTCTTTGATTAATTTTGCTAATCATTACGATTAATATAATTGTATCAGTTAAAAGATTGATTGAAGTGAATAATTTGGATTAATTTAAAAATCAAATCAAAATTAATTATCATTCAAAATTTAACATTGCAGGAGCTCTATCATCCGCATGACTTGCAGAACATCCAGTATGTACGATGCGATGAACCCCGTTGCATTGATGTACCCAGAGGTAAGTGCAAGAAGAACACAGATCCATGTGACTATAAGATCCGTTACCAAGATGAAGCCTCCTCTGAAGGCCGCATCGTGAACGACTCATTCACACTCCATTTAGAAGATGGCTCGTCGATCAGCCCTACCCTTGCCATCGGTCGCAGCACCTACTACTCATCAAAAGAGCTCAATGGTCAGTCAATAACTGAAGGCATGCTTGGGCTTGGCAAAGGTAGAATAAGCATAATCTCGCAGCTGCACGAACAAGGCAATTTCGCAAACATCTTTGGTCATTGCCTAAGTAGAAATTTGGAAGACTACGGGTTTATGTTCATTGGGGAAGATTTCGATTATCCCAGATGCCTCACTTGGATACCTATGTCCAGCGATGTTTCTAAGTGAGTTTTTAGTACTCGTGCTCTGATTTGAAGATCGAGCAGGTTATGCGCAATAATAATTTCTGTATTGATTATATATTATGTGCAGCTACTCACTGATGGCTGAAGTAGTATATGGTGATCATGAGCAGTCATTGTTGGGGGGGAATCAAGTTTTCGTTCTTGATAGTGGAGCCACTGACACGTACTTCGTAGATCTGTTGTACAAGAAGCTTTTAACCAAGGTTACTACTCTCCATTCTTCATTCCTATATGGTGTCCATCATATTAGCATAGACGTACAAGTGGAGGATAAATACTTAAGTAAAATTGATCAGATTTAAAATAATTTTGCGGGGTTTTTTAAAGTTTTAAAGAAAGTTTCTTCCTTCGATGACTATTAGATTGCATAGATGCCGCTGCAGAAAGTACCCAGAAATGACAAGCACCCTTACTGCTGGGAGGACACGAGACGCTTCAGGTTCATCACTGATCTCAGGAACCATTTCAGTAGCTTATATCTCAAATCAGGAAATGGACAAGATCTGGAGATCCCACCGGAGAACTACTTAACCATTACGGTAAGCATGACATCTTTCGCTTGGTTGGTGTCCATATTTCTATACAAAGGTGAGCTTTATTTCTCATTCATGAGTTCCAATTAATTTTAGGAAGATGGCGATGCTTGCTTGGCCATCTTGAATGGCTCTGCTCATGGTCTGAACAACTTCAACCTTATTGGAGGTAATAATTAAGCTTTAAAAGAGAAATAATATAAATTAAACTACAACCTTTGAAAATTTTTGTTATAAAAAGATTATTTAATTTCCTTTGTAATTTGTTTATTTTGAGAGGGTTATGCTTTGTGCAGCTACATCAATGCAAAATGTGATGGTTGTTTACAACAATGAGCAGCAGAAAATTGGATGGGCTCCTGTTACTGGCTGCACTCAACCTCTGAACTGCCCAACATATACGGAGCATATAGGAACTCTTCGCAATTACGGGAATTTCGATAATAAAAAATTTCATAACCATCTTCTTCTTCTTGTTCTTCTTCTGTTGGAGACAATCAATGAAATTCTTTTGGTTTAAATGAATTTCATAATGATATTATCGATTTACATAAACATAATTATCACTTTGAATTGTTAAATTATAAATCTTTATTAAGAATTGATATATCCTCAAAAAATCATCTTGATCGGGCACGTTCTCAAGGCAAAATCAAGCGGGAAACTTCAAAAATTAAATCTGGGATCACCTGAACTTCGATTTCAGCAAACTATCAGTCAAATTGAGCGTCTTGGAAATACGAACCCAACGACACCAAATTCGACTCAATCCGAGCCCAAATGAATCCAGATCAAGCACCCGAAGTGTTGTGGGAAAGTTTGAACCATAATTTGAGTTATTAAACGGTTTCCAAACATGATGTGCTTATTGTCAAATCGAGCAGCTCAATGAGACAAATCCAACGAGCCCAAGATCGACGAATTCCGACATCATTTAGACCTTCAAATGTCTGATGAACAGTACACGATCAAGGGATTCAATACCAGCCGTCCATCAAACCACTCCACATTTGCATTTGATCCTCCTCCTATTTACTACTCATGCCATTCTCAAAAACTATAAATATCCCCTCATTTCTCTTGAGAGGTGACCCAAGCAAGAAGAAGAGAAGAAGAAGCAAGATGAAGAGAAGAAGAAGAAGAAGAGAAGGATATAAGGGAAGAACTCCTCCTCGACCACCGCCAGAGTTCTGCCTGACGCCAAAGTACTGCCTGATGCCAGAATTGTTCCTGACTTCTGAATAATGTTGGAGTTCTGCCCGAAGCTCAAGTGGCGCCAAAGTTCTGCCTGACGCTGGAATTCTGCCCAACTTTCGAACGACGCTGGAATTCTGCCTGACCTTCAAAGGACGTCAGAATTCTGCTCAATCTCCAAGCGATGCCAGAACTTTGCTCGACGTTGTAACTAATTTTCAATCCAGAAGTGATTCATTGTAATCTGATCGTACAAAATTTTAAGGAGGATTCAACATCTGTATTTCAAGTAAACACTAGTATAACTCTTTCAACTGGGCGTGACCCCATTGTTTTTCCCCTTTCAGGGTTTTCCACGTAAAAATTCTTATGTTGTTATTTCTCCTTTGTTTGTTTTCTAGATATACGTACAACGTTGAGACAAAAAATTTTTAACTCTATCACCGTGTATATTATAGTCCACAACAATTTGGCACCATCTGTGGGAAACATTATCCCACGTTTTCAAGTATTGCATCAATTGTCAATAGACGTAGCAGTTGCATCATTAGGGCGTCTCGCTCCAACTCCCACTAGTCCAGAAATCAGTCTTTGAATCATAGACGCCTGATGTCTTCCTCTTTTTACCCTGGGGGACAAAATGCTGTTGGAGAAGCAACCTCTGGACTTTCCTTAGAAGAGAGAATCCGAAAGATAGAAAAATCTCAGAACGAGAACCTTCAACTCTTGCGAGAGACTTGGTAGCCGACACTAGCACAATATGAAGAAGTTCTTATCCCTTGAGATCCACTACTGGCCGAAGATGTTCAATTTGAACATCTTCAAGCAGAGATTCCTCTTCCTCCACCAAGGAGGCATATACAATCACATCAGAACAACAAACTTGCCGATACAACAAGTTCTACCTATCCCTCACACACTGATCGACAACCTCACATTCTTCGAGATCTCCCTGAAGACTTAGCCTAACAGCACATTGCTGAGCTCCCTCATAATGCCATACATCATGAACTGTGGAGATTAGTACGGAAAGAGTTCCCTCGGGGAGATGTGAGGCAAACTCTTTGACAGAGGAACTTCTAAGAGTCATCACCTTTAAATGAAGCCATCCTTTAGCACCCCATTCCGTTTGCCTTCAAACTACCAAGAATCGAGTCCTATGACGGGATGTCCGATCCATACGAGCATATCGACCACTATAGAATCATCATGCATATTCAGCAAGCCTCGAATGCACTCCTATGCCAGGTTTTTTCTGCTACCCTTAAAAGACAAGCTCAAACGTGATTCTATTCGTTTCCGTCTGGAACGATTCCTTCATTCATCAAATTGGCCAAAGTATTTGTCAAACTATTTATTGCAAATCAAAGAATTGCTAAGGATTCTTCTCACCTCTCTAGGATCCGTCAAAATGAAGGAGAATCATTGAAGGAGTATTTTCAGTGATTTTCTATCAAGGATCGACAAATTCCAGAAGTAGATCCTAGGTTGCTAAGAGGAGTCTTTCTCGTAGACATTCATTCTGGCCCCTTTTATTTGGCACTCATGTGGGATACTGTTCTCTCATATGCCGACTTAATTCATCGTGTGGAGGCACAAATCTCGATAGATGAAGCCATAAATGCTCACAGAAAATAGTTTGAGCAAACCAACGGGAAGCACAAAGGTGCACCTGGGATATATAATTCATTCTCACAACGGAATAAGCAAGAGAAGAATAATCTACCTCTTAGGCCTCCATTGCCTTGAAAAGAACCTCGATAGGAGAAAGAGTATACCCCACTCAACACATCTCAAACAAATTTATTGATGGCCATTCGAGATCAATATACAGTAAAATGGCTAAATATTTTGAAGCTGAACACATGAAATCAAGATCAGTACTGTCATTTTCATCGTAGTTGTAGCCACACTACCGAAGCCTGTAGACAACAATCAGAGAGTGAAATCTAAACCTATCTCTATTAGAGACTTAGTCCTGTGCAGCATCGAAGCCCCTAGAAAAGGCCCTCATCGTAACAAGCTCTCTCCCCTCTGGGAGGGTCCTTATTTGGTAGTAGCCATGGTCAAGCCTGGAACCTTCAAACTAAAGGATTCTAGTGGAAAAATGCTTCCTCGAACTTAGAATGTTGGCAACCTTTGCAAGTACTATCAGTAGGAGTTGATAATATTATTTTTCTTATGTTATGTTATTGGTAGTATTTGTCTTGTATTATGTCCCCCCCAAGTGATTAGGCTTTGTATCTTTCAAGAGTTATACTGACTTTTTGTACATTCCTTGTGTGTTGATTGTAGGAGAACTCTTCTTTCATATTCCTAAGTTACACTAGAAAATTATTGTAATAACTTATATAATACAATAATGTGATGTTCACTTTGTTGTGATAATGCCTCTTTTTATAAAAGATAAAAAACTCCTCAAACTCTTTTTATGTGATTCGAGAAATACACAATCTACATTATATCTCAATCACCGGATGATTAATCCTAGGGGAATTTTATCCGACCTCTTTCATACAGGTTAAAATCATCAAGCAAATGCTTTGATTAACAACCTCGGATAGGCAAAGATATCCAATGAGGATATCTATCGCATTCACTCAAGTCAAAAAAGATCGTCAAAATATTTCTCATTGAAATAAAACTAAGTCAATTTCATGTACATGTGAAAGTAGAAAAAAGAAAAAATATTAATAATTTCTTTATATATTACTGAACATCGAGTACATCATATGGAAGCATCAACACCAAACACACATATTATCACTAGAAAGAAAACAAAGTGATATAAATTAACATTAAAGCAATCCTACAGGATCTTAATATCATCCTCATCTTCCTCCAGGAAAAAAGCCTTTTGCAACTCACTCTCTAATTCTTCACCATCAAATTTTAAAGATGGATCACCAGAAGACTGGCTATGAGTCAACCCCTCGATATTTGCTCTAATCTTGCGCTGCACCGCACGCACGCCCTTCATAAAACCTTTGATGAAGCCATCCTCTATGCAATCTGCTTCTAAAGCCTTCACCTCCATGTCATAGATATAATTACGAGCTTCCTGAACGTGATCCTCAACAGTTATCTTAAAGACAAAAGACTTCTTGAATTCTTCTATGACTGTAGACGATAGTTGTTGGGCTTCTTTCTCTGACAGTATGCTCTAGAGCCTCTTATTCTCAGTTTCAAGGATCTGTTGGTTAATCGTCGCCTGTGCATCCACCAACTTTATATGCAAGCGATCCATCTGCTCATTCTATGAGGAGGCCGAAGTTATCCTGTTTGCCAGCTCTGCTCTACACTTTCCTAACTGCTTCTCCACCTCCTGCATTTCCTTGACTTTGCCATCATATTTCTTCTTGTATTCTCCCTGAAGATACTTGAACTTTACAAATTTGTTATTCTAGTCATTTAAGGTCTTGGTCATTTTAATCTTGAAATTAGTATGCTGCTCCAACCGAAACAACAAAAAAATAAAATTTTGTAAGAGTCATATCTCTTGAAAAAATATAAAAGGAAAGAAGAAAAAGTGAACTCACCAACTCCTCAGCCCATCGACAGCCAACACATTGATGTTTCAAAACATCTTCTAGAATATATGATTTAGAGGGAGAGATATGAGGACCTTTTCTAGTGATTGCCAAAATTTCATCCGCCATCTTCTTTTTGAAACCTGCAAATCATCCTCACTCCCTGTTCGTTTAGAATGAATTTTTGAAGGTTGGGGTATTGCCTCTGAAACTTTCATAGACTTCTTTAGCATTTGGGCATGTGATCTTCCTGCTTGAGTAGATAATCCCACCTTAAACAAGTATTCTTCGTCAATATATCTGCTCAAATAATGCACCTCATAATGTAGGGCATTAATATCAGAAAGCTTAAGTATCTTCAATAAATCTTTTGCTCCAATATGAAGGGGGACGGGTAACTCCTTCAATTTTTCCAAATTTTCTTGGAGATCCAGTCATTTTGCACAAAAAAGAAGTCACTAATCCAACCTTTTGACTGATCTCGATTACGAATATCCAACCACTTGGATCTGAAAGAGATATGACCCTATGTATCATTGATAAGACAACCCATTCGAGAAAAAAACATTCTGAAGATAGCACCACTCCATAATATTTAAAAAGTGCGACCAGTCCCATCAAGATTGACATGGCCTTGTAAGAAAGTCGAGATAAACTCACTCCACAGACCGTTAGAATATCAATCAACTATGGAGATGGTGGAAACCATAGCCCTGCTCATAAACTAAATTAATACATTGTCATATATCCCGAGGGAGGATAAAAGGCACGATCAATTCTTGTCGGCACCTTCATCACCAGATCATTAGGAAAATGAAATGTTTTCCTAAAGGAGATGAAAGAATCGTTAGTGATGGTGTAGATAACATAATCAGCCTTCGGCGCCTTGTTAGTCTTTTTGAAACCTTCAGATTGGGAAAGTCACATACTAAGAAATAGCGAAAAGCCTCAACTATCAGAAAGCCAGAAGGAGAACAGGAAAAGGTGCAGGTTTCCCCCTGGTCCTGGGGATCTATTTATATTATTTTTGGGAGAAGAAAAGAAGTTTCTAGATATTTTTTTGGAATTTGGCTTCCCACTCAATTCTGGGTCCAATTTTAGCCCCGAAAAGTCCAAATCAGACGTTATTGGGGTCCCCGAGACTATTCTTCGACGTTCTAGACTCAATTTCGACACTTTTTAGGTTATTT